TATAATATTCGGCCTTCTCCACTTGAATCTCTCTCTCTCTCTCTCTTTACGGGATAAAAGATAGCTTATGAACGTACTCATGTAAGACATAACCTTTTCTATAGGTCTGTATTAAGCTTTAATGTTGAATTTGTACAACTTTACTTTCGCGTGAATTCCGCGAAACATAGCAGCTAGCTAGCTCGCGCGAACGGCATGCAGCTAGCTATATATGCAATGGAATGACAACTCACCGTTCGTCCACACGCGCACGCAGCGACTAATTTTGAGGAGTTAAGGCACCGTGTTACACTTTAGACCTTACCAGGCGCGGATCCACGGGGGGGGGGGCCGACGGGCCCGCCCCCCCCCCCCCCAAAAAAAAGGGAAAGGAAAGGAAAGGAAAGGAAAGGAAAGGAAAGGAAAGGAAAAGGGAAGAAAGAAGGGCTAAAACACGAGTTAGGAGTGGACCCAGGGCCCTCACCTATCCGTATACAGGCCAAGCTCCCGCGGTTCAGCTGGACATGCGCCGAGCTTTGGGTTGTTTTCAGGTCAAAACTAGCCCTAATTCGTGTTTTAGGCCAATATAATTATGATAGAAACAAAATGCCGATGATCTCTCTTCACTATGGCGTACAACAACGTTCAAAAGTATTTCAGGACTCGGTTAACTTCAGGTCCATCTGTCAAATCATCATGCAGTTACACAGTGTACAGGGTCCGCGGTATGGCGGGGCTCGAGCCTCCCCCTCCCCCCCCCCCCCTCTTATTTGAAAAAGTGTTTTAAAGAGAAATAGAAAGAAACCAACCAAGGGTACGGCCCCGGAAAAAAAATTATCTACATAAAAGCGCGACTTAGCAAACGTAATTAAGGAAAAAAGCACGAAAAAATAGCAAATGCGAAAAGTAAAAACACGGAGGCATCCTGAAGCATGTCGGCAAAGCTTCCAAATTCGGCAGTTCGCGGATTCATAAAATTAGTTCCGTAAAAGTGGTCGTAAAAGCCTGATTTATTCAAAAAAATTATTCATTTTTATCGCCAGAATCTGGGTAAAAACACTGCATTCAGTTGAACAGGTGCCCTGAAGACGACCTGTCAGTCTAAATTTTTCTTTTTGAATCTGCCCATAATATTTATTATATGTAAATTATACCGAATAAAATTAGTCTCATGCACATCGTTTATTAGTGTCACAGATGGGTTGTTACTGTTACACTATATGGACAGATTGGATAGATGCGTAAATCATTAAAAATTAAAATCAGTATACGATGCGAAAAGGATTCTTCTCCAGCTTCCGGAAACCAACCTGGGATTTGTATTGTGTCCTGCAGGACGTAATTACTCACCTCTTTTGCATTATGTGTGCGTGAGATTTGGTTCTTTCTTATACGTGCCCCTTTTCATCTCCGATGAGTGCATGCCCTTATTAAAATTTTAGAGGTGCCCCATTTTCACCTCTGGTAATTCCCCTTTTTACTTTGACATGTGCTCTTTTTCATTTCAAATAATTGTCATTTTCCCCTTTGGATATGTGCCCCCTTTTCCTTTCCCCATAAAAAGTGCTCCTAATCTAAAGGGATTAAGAGGAACTTTTCTTTAATTTCACCCAAGTGTGGCTCGCTACGCTCGCTGGTATTTAAAGTTGATATAATTATGGTTCATATTAAAGATCTTTTCAGTGTTTCATGATTAGATTGTGCTTAAAACCCCATCAGGATTTTTTTCCTTCTTTATAAGATGTAATTTTTTTCACTGCGACCTCACAAATCCAAATTTTTTGCTCGCTCGCTTCGCTCGCTCGCAAAAATTATTCTTACCATCACAAACCAACTACAAAGTAAATGTATGATGCTTGAACAGTATGGACCATGTTAAGAGAGTAACAGACATTGAAATCATCCCTGTAATCACATTGTATGGGTATATACCAATGTCTAAAAAAATTGTAATTTTTTGCTTTGAGGTTTCCCTTAGTAGGTGCCCCTTTCTCCCGGAAAGTGCCCTTTATTGTTGATGCCCCCCACACCCTTTGAATGACCTCATTTGCCCCTGGCCTTCTCAAACCTTCGAGCTTCCAGGGGCACCGCCCCTTGGACCCTACGCCAACTTTACGCTACGCTCTACCTGTTCATAAATACTTTAGCCCCCCCCCCCCTACTTTGAAAAACGTTCACTGGGGCCTGATGTGAGGTGTTAAAGCTGCAGCCCGAATCAAGTTATTGCTGTCTGCCCATCACAACTGCTGCACTAGTCTTGTACTGACTGATTTTGACAATCAAGTGATACCCGAGGTATTAGGAATCTGTACCGTGTCAATTGTGGTTGTCAACATTGTTGCAATTGAAGATCTTGTTTAGAAATGAAATAAAAAGGATAAAAGATATACTTTATGGACTCTTGATCTTAATGAGGGAATCATTGCTGTGTTAAGTTATACATATATCAATATTAAACACTTACACCTAGAGGCAGTGGCGTACGCAGGATTTTTCCAAGGGGGGGGGGGGTTAACATTTTGAAATCGGGCCAAAAATTTCGCAACGACTCAGCCAGCCGCTGAATAAGCGGGGGGGGGGGTGTTCTAAAATACACACATACAAAAGCAACTAAAGGGGGGTGGGGGGTTAACCCCCACCCCCCCCCCCCCCCCCCCTGCGTACGCGCCTGGCTAGAGGTACCGGTGCCATGAATACCAGTGTCCTAAAGACTTTTTGTCACAACGGGGTACTATGCGGACTGCACACATAGTCCCGATTCTTGTGTTTCCAGTCTTTTCCTCCTATCATAAAAAAAGTCACAGATTTTAAATGATATCCTGGCAAAAAGTATACACCAAATCACACAAATTGAGATTACAAATTCGACTTTTCTTCAGCTTTTCAGAGGGACACATCTCCCCTCAGACTCCCCCTGTCCGCACAAGCGCGGAACGCGGCACTGACGCGCCGCTCAATATTTTCTCACAAATTGGGCCCCCCCCCCCCCCCCCCCCTCTCGACGCCGGCTGGATTGTGCCGTGGCACAAATGGCCGTCCATACTAATATAATTATCCCGGGCGCTTTTTTTTCCGTACCACTAATGCGTCGCACAGGTCATTCGACGCCTTGAGAGAGACTGAGCTTGCGTGTCAACGTAACCAATTTCCCCTGTTGACTACAGAAAGAGATCTTTTAGATTTCACTCGACGATATACATGGACAGGAAGTAAGCGTGATGAAGTCATGATTTGCGCGACAAATTTAAAGGAAATTCCGCGGGCCCCCTAATGCAAAAAAGTCACCAGCCGGCTGGGCGGTGCGGAGGCGGAGCTCATGCAAACTGCCACTGCCACTAGCTATAAACCTTTCTACGGTTGCTATAACATAATATATATATTTTTAAATATGTTTCTTTAGTTCTTCTCACTTTTTCTTCCTTTTCCTTTCTTCTTGCGCTTAGAATTGTATTAAGCGCTTTATATTAATGTAATGTACTATTATTACATACCATTCAAACTTTCACAGTTCAAAACAAAAGAGTTTTCATGAGAATAGAGAGAAGGCTACTACAAAACTTACTTCAGTTTCGTGAAAACTGTTTTTGCTCAAAGACAATATGCCTTTTTTTCATTCATCTTGAGGCTTGAGATGACGCCATATATGTGAAATTAAGTGCACGTCGTTCTAGATTTAGGACGAAGGGAAAATCAAGGTGGACGCTTTATCATGACAGTCGACGACTGAGACGACGTGACGCATGCGCAGGGCCTTAAAGGACGTCACACGTAGCAGTCCACCATGTCGACGTGCAAATCTAAAAGTCCCTATTGCAGCTGACTGGCGACGGCACATACATTCATGCATACGTGTTTAAAATTTTAATTTTAAACTTTTTTTAAAATGTGTATAGACTGGTACTTTGTTTAAGAGATGGATCTATCAGCCTTTTCACACAGGGGTAAAATTCATCGTATCTAGAGCTGATTCTTTAAAGAAAAATTTCACTGTGGAAATCGTTTATACGATGTTTGGACAGTGCAGATACGAAGTCGCGATTTATACTCTCAGTAGGGCCATCGCGCATCACTGCTCGTAAATGCGCAATGGCCCAACTGAGCGTTTAAAGAGAAGTGAATCTCGAACGACTGCACCGAAATTGTCTGTGTGTGAATGATGTTGTATCTAAAGCTGATTAGTTTAAAGCTCTTTAAACTAATCAGATTTAAAGAATTTTAACCCTGTCTAAAATACTGGACCGGTGTAAATAATTGTTTTTTTTTGTGCGAAAGCTGTTCTCATTCGAGGGGTGCGGAAGTGGTTTGACTGTCTCGTTGGGTATGAATGTATCTCGTTAGTTTTGTTGTTGAAAAATGTAGGAAATCGGGAGAGGTAAGTCGTTTTTAATTGGTTTGGACATAAGCTCAAGAAGAACACGACGACAAAGAACAAAAATAAAGCCCCCATCACATCAAACTAGTTCTCACTACGTTCTCGAAAATGTTGCCAAACGGGCTCAAACTGTGTGCGAACGGAGTTGAACGTAATAGTAACTGTTTGCGACCTGTTTAAGGACTTTATGGACGGGCTCGGACTGGACTAATGTCTCTAATGCGATCCTAGTTCGTTCATTAACAGTCCACAATACGTCCAACTCGTCTGTACCCGTCCACAGTCAGTTCATATCAAGTTCAGATCGGATAAATTTGATATTTCCAAGCAGTCCAAACCATTTTACTAGTTCGGAACTTGTTCTAACTAGTTTATAACCCAACCACCCCGTTCAGAGACAGTTCAACTCGTCCTCATCTTGTTCCTAGTGCGTTCGAACGCGCTGCTATCGTGCTTTGCAATCCCGTCCTGGTTCAAGTGCTATACAAACCCAGTGCGTTCTTCCTCATTGATGCTCGACCACATCACGTGGTAACACGTTCCTAGTAGGATCGAATTACGGCAATTCCGTTCATAGTACGGCAATTCCGTTCGTAGTACGTCCATCTCGTTTTAAGTACGTTGTCACCCCGTTGAACAGGCTCAAAGTTCTAGACCACCCTTCCCGTCCAAGCCAGTCCGAGCCCGTCCATGAAGTCCTTAAAAAGATCGTAAATAGTTGCTAATACGTTCACTCCGTTCACACACAGTTTGAGCCCGTTTGGCAACATTTTCTAGAACGTAGTGAGAACTAGTTTGGTGTGATAGGTGCTTGACTGGAACGTCTTGATCTGCAAAGCCTAAAGCGTTGCAGTTGAACGGGAATGAGGAATGGCGAGAACGTACGCTCTGGGTTTTTATAACTCCCGAGTCAGGACGGGATTGCACACGCTCTATAGGACCGGAGCGCGTTCGAACGCACTCAGAACGAGATGAGGAAGTGTTGAACTGCCTCTGAACGGGGTGGTCGGGTTAAAAACTAGTTAGAACAAGTGGCGAACTAGTTGGACGTTTAGGAACGAGGTAGAACTAGTTAATAATGGGTTTAAACTGACTACGGACTGGCTTGGAATGCCTAATCTACCCGATCTGAACTTAATATGAACTGGCTGTGGACGGGGAACAAACGGGCGGGGGAGTGACTAACAGTTTATATTACTGCTTATCTTTCGTGTCAAAGGTGCTGCTGGCCTCGGTTCGACTTGCTTCGCGGGGTTGTTTGCCACTCTGGCGTGCATGAAGATATCGCCATATTATGGCATCATCTCAACTTTACGACATCTTCTTGAAGTATGGGGTGTATATTCAACCGGGAAACACCAACTGATACAGGTACGCAAAACCTGGACCGACATCCGTTCTTCACAAGAAAACCTCCTCCTGAATATCCTCCGAGAAAACTCTCAAACGTCCTACGGCAAGGAGTTTAAGATCCAAGAGATCCGTTCTATGGAACAGTTTCGACAGCATCATCCACTCACCACTTACGAGCATTTCCGAAAGTACGCGGAGCGCGCAATGGAAGGCGAGTCCAACGTGATGACTCCAAAGGCCCCAACGAGCTTTGTTTGTACAAGTGGTACGACTGGTAAATCCAAGTTCATCCCCCTGATTAATCGGTTGGATCTTATCAAGACCTTGTTAGGGCGGTGCAGTGCCAGTGCTTTTGAGAACTGCCCACGATTAGGCCTTTTGCAGAAGCAGTTTTTGTTCTACGTTGATCCACAGATCACGAAGACTAAGGGCGGAGTCAACATCGAAGCCTTTCTCACCCTCTCTAGAGAGCAAGAAGATAAGTTGATTCCTTTCACGACACCAACCGCTGGATTTCACATCAGTAATTTGAAGGTACATGTATATCTAACAAAGATTATGCCAATTCAGCACTAGGGAACACCTTCACTTATATTGTTTGTCAGCAAATTGTAGAGATCTTTTTTTACCCTGTAGATTATAGAAATTATGAAAATAAATTGTCTTCAAACTGGACCCGAAACCCTCGTCCTAATGATGATAAGGGGTTGACTCGATCATAAGGCTAATTGCCCTTTTTGTTAACCCCACATTCCCATAAAATTGAGTTCGCTCGTGCCCTTTGTATTTTTTTCTTATAATCGATCTTTTATCCGTATATCATTTTGCATGTTTAATTTTTTTTATGGAGAATGAAATAAATTAAAGGAAATGAACTAAGAGCGAACATGACAATCAGATAGATAATATCATACTAGCCGTGTTCATTTATTTTTTATGCTTAAATTCGAATTTGAAAAATATCATTAAGATCTTATTAATATATATATGCATTGTTACAGTATTGACAGTAATTAGTATGATATGTTTTCCGAGATGAATTTCATTTCAGCTCACAATTTGTTATGACCAACTAGTTCATAAAGAGAAGGATATGCATAAAACAAGAAAAATAAAGTCTTTTTTGACCATGTCTACTTTACCCGAACACAGGACGCTTGTTACGTTCACAGTCTCTTCGCCCTACGAGAACCCACAATCGGTGTCGTCCTTTCTTTCTTCATTCACTATATCGAGAGCATGATGAAACTTATCGAACGTCGATGGACCGACATCGTCGACGATATCGCACATGGCACCATCCACGAAGACATCCAACTCGAAGATGACACCAGATCATCATTGATTAGCGCACTCGGCAGTGGCGATCAGGAGAGGGCCTGCCTGCTGAGACGTGAATTCGAGAAGGGGATGGATGGCATATTGAAGAGGGTGTGGCCCGATTTAACCATTGTTATTGGTATTGATAACACAAGAAGCTGGCCGAATATTGAAAGAAAATATGCCAAAGGTAATAATCTTTCAGAATTTTATTATATCATTTATTCATTTAATCTTTATCCAGATGTGCACGAATTTCCTTTTTAACTAGCACAGTAAGCAAACAATTTCAAAAAATGACCTATAATACATGAGCAATTATTGAATATAAAATTAAACGAACTAAGTACATGTTTAAAAAAAGATGGTCATCCATGGGACTCTTTATATACATGTATATATCCTTAAAAAAGTACGTGTAAAATAAAATTTAATAACAAAATTTAATCAAATAAAACTTAAATGATGACACACATAGGTGATTAACTAAAGGAGACTGGAATCAAGACTGAAGATTGTTACATACAATGTGATGAACAAATTATAATTAAAAGCCTTTATGTTAGTCATGGAAGGCATATATTAATGTGGTTCTATATTTTGGTACCCTTAGTTTGATTTCCTTGTTTTATAGGTCGATGCATCCCAAACAAACAGGAATTCACTACATAATAGATTGCCATGACAGTTTAATGAAGAACTTTTCAAATGAAACCTTCCAACTACTTTGGGATATGTAACCTATTTAACATTTCGTAATTATATTCCGATCTACATGTCCAAGCTTCGCATCAATTTGATATATGCGGTTTTACATTGCTCCAATGTATTCTTTTTTTCTGTTTAAACATAATATCCTATTCGATAAATAACTGACACTGACCTAGTTCCTGTTTGACTATCACAAAAACACTTTCTACACGTTTCGTAAGATGAAGGTAGCTGTCTACAGTAACTCCTAACATTCATATTCCGTTATACATTCAAATTAGGGAAGGGGGGCACGACAAGAGTTATATCATTTCATTGACTAAATCTTAGAATTGACCCGAATAATACTCTAATACTTTTTATCACGATCTGATTGTCTTCAAACTCTTCTCATTTTAAGTCCCTATATAATGTACTTCAAAAATAATAAATCATATGATAAAAGCGATTTACAGGATATATAAGTCACAACTATCATTAATTGTCCCTAGTAATACTTGACCTTTGACCTAACTACCCTAATTTGATCATTGATGTGCATATCTGCAATAGCAAGTTGGAAGTTCACAGCCCAAATTGTTATCAAGATATGGTAATAACAAAGCTTAAAATGCTTCATTTTTTTTTTATCTTTCATTAGAAACCATACAGGAGGGCATTAATCGATATGTGGCTATTGTTACGCCTTTCTGGCTCTCAGCACCAGCCAAACTAACCATAAGACGTCAATGTCATTTTCACAGGCATTCCGCTGCTCCCGTTCGTGTACGGCTCTTCAGAGGGAATCATTGGGCATGCATTGTGGACGCAGGATAAGCGAAACGGATATAGCTTGTTGACAAACGAGGTCGTTTATGAGTTCATCAAGTTCGAGGACACGTAATAATGTTCACTTTATTTTCTAAACCGTCTTGTTTGTATTGTACAATTCTAGAAATTAACTCACATTTAAAAATGTTCTTGTGATATTTAAACGGGGTAAATTCGATTTTGTTTCTTCTTCATAATAATGAACCTCTATCAATTTAAGTCGTTATAACCATTAACTGAAAAAAGTGTTGTGCTCATTTAAAAACTTGTAACATTCATTACATTTGTATGCTCGGGCTGCTAGAATATTGAACTGTTCATTTAACTGTAGGCCTTTATAAATTGGTTAGCTTAACTTAATCTTGCTATACTGATTGTAGCAAACTGTATAAGTGTAATCCTTCAATGTCATTAATGTAACATAAATGAGAATTGAAGTATTTGAATAGTCACATCAATTCATTTCCTGAAAAGGGAGAGGGAAACAACATAGATTAAAATGTATCCATTGCTTTAAGGCACACACTCAATAAATCGTTAGGGAATCAATTGGGTCCGACATTTGCTCTGGCATCAATTTACAAAATGCTCCGAACTGTGACTTGCTGGACTTGAAGTTCCTTTTGTCACCAACTGGACAATTACGTCCGGACAGCGTGATGAAATTCGTCCAGAACGTGTTCTGGATTTAATCTGTTACTTGATTCCAGAATGGTGGCTTGCTTGCCATTAGCCCGGACCCCTTTGCTCTTCTTATTTCCCATCTTCTTGCTCAAAGATCACAGCTCCTGCGAGAATTTGGATCCTTAAGAAGGTCTTTTGTTTCGTGTTATACCAGTCTCTCTAAATGTACAGGAATGGAAATCCGCTCTAAGAATATAATTCATTCTTTAAAGAGTTATTTAACCACTTCTTTGGGATAGATTGCACTGACTTTTGAAGCGGTTTTATCTCCAATGTAATATGTCTCCAAAGAAAAGTAAAATGGATTTTTATTAATTCCTTTGCAATAAAGACAATCACCGTCCTCTTGTTCTAACCTTCCCTTGATTCTACAGCTGTTTGTTTGTTGTTTTGTTTTCTATCCTGCCAATTTGCCGATGTGTTTCAAATATTGCCCTCTGTTTTACTCCATCTCAACAGAGAGCTAGATCAGCCACAGACTTACCTACCTGATGAAGTCGAGATTGGACAGCGGTACGAGGTGGTCATTACTCAAATAAGTGGACTGTACCGCTATAGGATGGGTGATATAATCCGTGTTATCGGTTTTGAAGGCAACAAGGTCCCTTTCATAGAGTTCCAATATCGGTAAGACGACATATGGTCCGACACTTTGGACGCAATACTGTTTATTACTAAAAACGAAGACAAAGAAAGGGGTAGATCAGACAAAGGATTATGCCCTTCGTATTGGCTAAAATAACTCCATGGCCAATTTTTTTTTTTGTTTAAAGTTCACAATCTCTCGATCTATGTAGTCGCTCGTGTGTGTGTGGGGGGGGGGGGGTGGGATCGGGCGGATTTTGAATATATTGTTCCTTTAAAGTTAACTAGAAGCCTTGTATAATTAAAAAAAAAAAAAAAAATTGTATTCAATTCATCATTATATTAAAGCAAACGACCGTTTAGCTTTCTTAATAGAAAACACTGAGCAGGGACTTCTTGGGGGGGGGGGAGACACGGCTTGGCTCATCCGGTAGAGCAATATATCTTGTATTCGAATCCAGGACAAGCTATTGTATGTCAACATGCCCCTCCCCTGTTTTCAAGACTCAAGCTTTGTAATGGTGAAAAAGAATCAGTCCCTCGGGTAGGACGTCAGAGAGAGGCTGTTTTTAGATTCACCACTTTAGCACTCTAAATACAATGCTCTCATTTTAATTAGACTGAAAAAAAGGAATGCAATGCAAAACAGCCAATCTTTAAAATCATTTTTCAAAGTAAATGTTATATGGTGGTTCATCTCCATCCTACTTGTGCTCGAAGTAGCGCCTTATAATTTGGTAGGTTATACATGCATCAATTTAAAAAGACAAAAACAATAGGGGAAACCTCGGTTTCGCGGTGCTCCTGCATCCTAACATTGTCATGGGTAGCGCCTTATAATCTGGTCGGTGGCTCATGAATCATGAAACCAAACTTAACGATAAACTTTAGTACTGGTAATGCGATTGCACTGTGAAAGAAAAGGTGTGGAAAGGATCAGAAACAGTTGATCATGTAGCATGTAAGTATTGGTGTGCACTGCAAGGTTCTGGAGTCATCAAAATCATAATAAATTTGACCGAGTCTTAGTAACAAGCGGTAAACAAGAGGTAAAGTAACAAGCACTCACATAGAAAGCTATATATGGGACAACACAAATGGTGTCGGGGCTAGTAATACCTTGATTTCCTTGTCTTTCTATGCTCATTGCTCCGCCAGTATACATTTTCTTCCAAAATTGTTTGGCACATGTCATTTATTTGTAATCTTGAACATTCAGTGTAAGTTTCGTTTGATTCTGTGAGAATTATATTTTTTTTTTTTACCAGTACTGGAGTTTATCTTTAACGAAACAAACAAACCAAACATGATGATTATTCAGTTCTACCCAGAACAGCTGGTAATTGGCCCAAAATTCTCGGATAGACAAGAATGGGGAAGGACCAACTTCTTTTGGCAGGTTTCGGTGATGTCGAAATCAAGTCATACTGCTTTTTTTTTTTTACAGGATTGGAATGATGCTGAACGTAAGGTTCGAGAAGATTAATCAGCTGGTCGTTAAAGAAACTATCAAGTTCTGTGAGACCACATGGTCTGGGGTAAAACTAATCGATTACACCGTGGCCCAGAACAACCTAATCACCGAAGAGAGTCCAGGTAATTTTCTTACGGGGACTGAGGAGTGATGACGAAATGGTGAACCAAAAGGGGAGCGAGTTGTACGCGTGACCGTGTGTGTATGTGTGTGTATGTGGTGTGTACGCGTGTGTGTGTGCGCGTGTATGTGGGTAAAAGGTGGGAGAGCTGACACTCTTATAAAGATTTTCGTCATGACGTAAATTGATATTTCAAGATAGTACCCCCTCCCCCTCATTACAGCATATCAGAATATGAGAACATACTGTTAACAACTAAATTGTGCATACCCCTTGTAAATATGATGTTTTATGTGTGTTTCATGAATCAAGAATGAAAGGTGAAATGATTGAATTAGGGCATGTGTTAAATATTGTTAAATGTAAGCTTGAATATGTCACATTATCAAGAAACATAAATCGGGACAAACCAATTTTATCCCGATTTACCTTATTATTTGAAAAGATTGAAAAATTGGTAAGAGTATGAATAATTATTTGTTAATTGTACATATTTCATTTTATAACCATGTAAGTATTTTTCAACGTATGTAAACAAAATATCAGGACTTAAAATTGTCCCATTATACCAATGACATTTGCCTTCAATGGCCCAGAGACATGTTAATCGAAAATTCTTATCATTCATGCTAAAATAGTCCTATAATTTTTTTTGGTACTTAGGTTTAAAATTTAATTGTAACTAGCTGGATCGAATGAAATCCATGAGGAATTTCATGTCTTTTGTATTTTACAGCCTATGAAAAGGACGAGATAATGCCCTACTACTTGATCTTCTTGGAGTTGGAGTTCGAAGACAGAAACACGCCAATTTCCGCCGAAGAAAGAAGAATGGTGTGCAAACCAATAATAATCTATTAAGAAATAGAAGAGAAAAGAGCGTCTTAAACGAACCCTCTGTGCCAAAATAATTGAAGAGCCAGAAAAGAACATCATTGTAGAACATAATGCTTTAACATAATTATTTTCATCAGGAAAGTCCATGTAGAAGAACATAACATTAAATGTTCATTTCAAAAAATTAAGTACTCCACATAAGGGTTGCAGTGCCTCCTATAGACCATTTTCAAAATGTCTTCAAAATTGTACACGTTTACTTACAGGCGAGCTATAACATTCACATGTTATATGTCATTTCATCTCATTATCAAGAACGCCGATATGAATTGGTTGTTGCTAGATTGGAAAAACCGTATGGCTTGCCTTGCGTATAGAAGGCAATTTAAACAATTTTCATTTAGACTATAGAAATAAAATTATTTGCAACAGGTCAATAATACGTAGCAAGGTACTTCACAAAATGTATGCATTCAATTTGATTACATGACGAAAATGGCCTACTATAGTGGTGGCACGTCAGCTAGCTGAGCTTTGTAATCTTTGGTTCTATTTTTTCACCTATTTATTATGTTTTAAGGTAAAGATCAGTTTTGGATTTTTTCTTCTTTTTTGCTCTTAAATTTAAATTTCCTGCATTTGCCTCAGTGGTAAATAAATAAATTACACTCGAATGAGCCACTTCAGAAATAGTATTTGCGCAAGGACAGATAAATGCCACAAACTTAAAAAAAAAAACGAAAAACCCATCGAGATCCTTCCTGGATTTTCCAATGTTTTCCCTTATTTTCCTACTATTTTACATATTTTCTTAAAAACATTAAATTAACACATAACTCTATCGGACAAATATTTACATCTTGGTATGAACTTACGATTGTGCATGATGTTTGTAAGATAGATAAGGCTTTACTTGTTTATTTATTTTACACCCCAGTTTTACCCTTTTTTTTCTGTTCTCCGTTTTATCAGATCGATGTTAAATTTCGTGATCTAAACAGCGACTATGCAAGACTTCGTCGTGAAGGTTCAATTTCACATCCCCGAGTCCACATCGTGAAACCCGGCACGTTTGAAGACCTCAAAAGCTACATTCTGATGCATACTAAAGCAAGTGCGAACCAGTACAAGGTCCCGCGTAAGTTGCGCACCTACGGCATGCTGGAGGTGATGCTCAATCATGTCTAAATTTGAAAATCCTATGAAGACAAAAAGAACAAATTTAGCCACTATATCAACAAAGGCTTATACGAGTCAGGGGACTGGGGGTTTAACCATACCCACCCCCCCCCCCCCCCCATCCCTGTTTCAACAGATGTAAATAATACAACGGTTATCTCATTCCCGAGTATCTAAGTGGTTTATTGTAAGGCTTAAAATTCTCAACAATTATCTTCATCCACCCCCACCTCTGCGCCCCGTTGCCTAAATATTAGCATTGCTGGTAACTTTGCCATTCAGAGTAGCTTCCACGGGAACCTTGATTTGGTTGGCTGTTGAGTGATCTTGGCATGATAGTTAATAATGATGGCAAAGTTGTCATCACGTCAAATAAAAATCAGATATCCTTGGCAATATACTGATTTTTCTTTTAAAATCATTTTACACCCCTTTCTGATAGTCCTGGATCCGCTCTTAGATTCATTTCGTATTTTTGCCTTAAACTACGTTTATTCTCAAAATATACCTCTTGTAATCCTCGTTAAATATTGACTAGGCATGTGTTATCAGTGTACAATGTAATCATAGTTATCTTCCTACTTTTATAATGAAATGTTCTTTGTTCGTTCCCACAACTTTTGTAGACTTACACTATTGTTGTACAGAGAGCCCACAGCATACAAACTTTAATTTTACCTTTATAGGCTTCTTCATATCCTAATTTCCAATTCAACTTAGATTTTAAGATACCGAGTGACTACATGTACATGCAAACCAAAGTGATTTAGTATATTTCATGTACTTATATTTATCATACACACTAAGAAAAAATGGTGCAAGTATGCACCGTTAGGGTTGCAAACCGAAGCAACACTGGCAGCACCTTTAGGGCTTAAATCCTGCACCCGTTTTAAAGGTGCAATCCTGCACCTTTGAAAAGGGTGCCAGATTGAACCTTTTATGGGAAATGTTAGTACCCTTTATGGTTTAATCCTGTCCCTTTAGGGGTGCAAACCGATGCAACACTAGCAGCACCTTTATGGGTTCAATCCTGCACCCTTTAAGAGAGGGTGCCAGATTGAACCTTTTATGAGACATGTTAGTACCCTTAATGGTTCAATCCTGCTCCATTAGGGGTGCAAACCGATGGAATAACAGCATCTTTAGGGGTTCAATCATGCACTCTTTAAAAGGTGCAATACTGCATCCATACTCGAGGAATACTCGTGAAAGTTGCCCGTACACAAATACATATTAATCATACATGTTGTTTCTTGGTTAGTAATCATATAATCAATATATCTATTGCTGAAACGTGAATGATATTGTAACATGATCAGACAAAGTAATCTATTAGTTAATGATTGCCGAAGGAAAATACAAATCACAAAATTGATGTGCATTGCCATAATTTGCTTAACGAATCATGATAAATGTATTTGTATGTGAACACGTGTAAAGTAATCATGAATATGCACGCAATATGCAAACTTTTATTTTGCACCCTTTTGGGGCGATAGGGTTCATTTTTGTTGGAAGGGTGCAAAATCTTATATTGCACCCTTTTTTGAACCCCTTTTCCTTCAATAGGGTTCATTTTTATGTAAAGGGTGCAAACTCTTATTTTACAACCTTGTTTGCACCCTTTTTTCTTAGAGTGTAACAATCATTATTTTCATCATTACCATCATCGTCGTCATTATTATTGTTGATGTTGTAGCTTGAAGCTGATGACTTTCAGGCCAAATATAAATTATTCATGATTTAGTTCCACATATAAAAATAGAATTAATGTTTTGGGGTCAATAGATACACTATCTGCATTGTCACTACAGCCAGCCCACAAGTACAAACACAGATCCCCAATTGGATGATTCTTAGGGCATACATAATTATATTCTCATGAATTTGGTTCAAATAAACATATTGGAAACATATGCGATCCTACAATATTTAGTGATCGTTGTCGCGGTTGAAATCCCGTCTAAAGTTATGAAATTGTAAATAATAAACTCTTTATGTTGTATAGCTCCCTCTCGAGGTCAAGATATCAATTAAACCATTAAAAATGTTCGGACTAAAATTACGTATCACAACTAAATATTCTGAGAACTTCAAGGTCGCAGCTGCCATTGTATGACCGTAAGCGCTATCCAAAATTTATCAAAATTTACCTGGAGCACCGGTAAATTTTGATATTCAATTTTTCTCAAAAGCAGAAGTGTTTTAGAGACTGAATTTTTAAGTGCTTAAAGTACAGTTGCAGGGGCATCTAAATATATCAAAATTGTAAGGAATCACTATCCACCCAATTTTCAAAATTTCTCAAAACTTTTTAATACTTTTAAGAAGAGTAGAGATGTGCCAAACCCTGATTGCTTCAGAAAGGATGAAGAAAGTTTCATTGTCAAGAGGTTGTTCATACTGATCGGATCGAAAGTTTAGATAAATTTGTGAAAACCAGGAGGTCAAGCAATCGGTGAGTTAAAGTCATGTTTATTATATCTATTGTCATTCTAAATACATTGAAGTTTGTAACATGTAATTATCTTCCAAGGTAAAATAAAGCCCCCAAAGGCTAAATGTCTCGATACTGCAAACAAAATCCACGCATCCAGCTGTCAGTACACTCTTCGTCTGCACATTGCAGTGAACTTGTAATATAGATCGGTATAATTGTTTATTATTTGTTTATTGTTGTTGTCTTTATTTCTTTACGTCTTTCTTGTGTTAATTTTTTTAGTATTCCACAAAACATTAATATAAGGGCTCCTTTTTAGTGGATTTCTCTTTTCCTTTAAAATTTGACTTGCGCCAAAGTTGCTAATGTGATGTTTGAATAAAACAATTTTGATTTGGGTATTAATTCGGTATTTGCAGATCCAAATAAAATCCCTAACAAATTAATCATGCCACAAATATCGAATATCAAATATCAACCAACATGTGTGCACGTGTGTGTGTTTGTGACTTTGCTTCTGCAAAAGCAAATGCAATGCATTTTATTTGATTAGTGTGGAATGCGTGTAAGGGAGGGGGACATAGCTAGATGATTGACGAATACACAATCCTTAAAGACGGACAGAAACTGGACGACCTGACTAGGTCTTTGTTTAGGGATGGGGATACTGGTGTTATCACTCGTTTATGTTACAATAATTTGTTCATTTCTACGTCAATCTCTCTGACTGATGTACAAAGACACTTATTTGTTCTCCGTTACACTCTATACGTATCGCTCTTTAATCTTCATGTTACTTTATACAACGTGTTTACGACCAGTTGATTTCTTGAGCATGCTTACGATTATAATTTATCTACGAAGTACTATTCACAGATGTTTGATAAACGGAATATTTGAACATTCACACGACATCGCGAATTAAACAGTTATTACGGTGTGCGTTCCGTTTAAAGCCCTTAGCTGTAGCGTAGCCGTTTAAGAAACTACATCTATTATTACTAGTGTTACTATCTTTGCTGTTGATCTCGCTGTTGTTGATGTTGTTGTTGTTGTTGTTATCATTATTACCACCTTCATCAATTTAAGTGTAAAAATACTATGGCGGCGAGAAAAAGTCATTAAAACAACTGATGTGAGGGTGATAGAGAGGCGAAAAGAAATACTAAAGTAAATTTTCGGAAATTGCAACAGTATCATTAAAATGAACTAAATAACACGTAAACATTCACAAGAGTCCAAATAGTGGAAATATCAAAAGTCAAGGCTAATTATCAGCACAGCCGAACAATACAAATACACAGGCCAACTTCAGTCATGTGCTAGCCTAACATGGCAAAAAGCGCAGTAGTCCAACTTACTCACACAATCTATGTCTAAACAACACATGCACATCCATGGCTCTGAGCAATAACTTTCAAGAACGCCCTCTCAGCAACAAAATACATTTCAAAATGGAGTGATTCGATGTAACACTATTGGGGACAAATACAATTGGTTTTATTAGGTCAGGAAAAAAAAGGAGAATTTCGGGTGGGAATGTTTGAGTAGCTTATCCGAGGAAAAATGTTGCGCTTATCTCGAAAATGTAAGTCATGTTGACCCTACTCACAACATTTTGGTAATTTCAGCCACTTTTCTGCCCGAACTGACCATTTTAAAGGGCTTGGAGTTAGGGGATAATGGAAATGTAAGCAAGTAGTGCCGTTATCTTTTTAGGTTATTACGCTTGTCTATAAATCTAGACATGTGTTTTTGATTGTTTGGGTGCAAAGGGGAGCACCAGGGAGGAGGCAATGGGTACATAATGTCCTCCACTTGTTCAAGTACCCCCCAACACGCCCCCTTGGGATAGGAGAAGTGACCCTGTTTACTTCAAGTAAGTGCCACTTTTCCTTTGTAATACATTCCGCTTTCGCCTTAATAGTGTCCTAATTAACATTTGATAAGTACTTTGACAAGTGCCCCTTTTTCTTTGTAATTAACGCATCTTTCCCTTGATAAGAAGAGCCCCTTTTCATATCTAATGAGTGCCTCGGTTTAGATATGACATGTGCAATTTTCACTTCTGATAAATGCCCCCTTTACCCTACACCTGTCCCTTTTTTGTAATAAGTGCTCTTTTCATTTCTAATAAGTGCCCCTTTCAAATATGATTAGTTCCCCTTGTTACTTTTGATAAGTGTCATCTTCATATATATATCTATATATAACTGCCCATTATTAAGTGCCCCCTTTTACCTATATTTCCCATTGGTGCTTATAACGCGTGCTCCTTTGCGGTCATATAAAGAGCCATATCTAGTTCTAAAAAAATGGAGGAGCTTTGCCTTTGTGTAGTGACATTAACCCCCTTTCCTACCACCACAATTACAGGCAGGAGCCGGTGGTAGAGGGCACAATGCTCCGGAATTTAAAAGAATAAACTGTCCACCTGTTAGAATAGTCTTGTTCGTTTCCACCGCTATGTCCCTTTTCCGAACTATAGACGTATTCTATTCGAATACTAAAAGAAGCATATTTCAACTTCTCATCTTTTAAACAATTTGCTCTATTGAATTTCATAGAATATCAAGCCAATCAATTGTCCTTTGTCCAAGAATATAACAATTTAAACTATGAAGGAGTTATCAAACTCAAGGCAACTGCAATTACATCCAAAATGTAATT